TTATTTTTTTATTCATACATCTTGTTATTGAGATGATCAATTAAAGGGTTTTTCATCATTAAAACAATATTTTCCGATATATTTTTGAGGTGCATCTGTAATTCTACATTTTAAGGTTGCAACCTTATATAAACCTTATCCATTTCTTTTTACAGATAATCACAATATTCTTTTATTTATTAAGCGCTTTTATTTGATACTCGACCCTTGCTCGAGCCGAGTTACTCGGGAGAGCTCGTGTAACTTGCCTGAGTACAATTCAAGTTAAAAAATAAAAAATCAACACAAAACATATTTTATATGTATTATAGCCTTCGCTTTATGACATTGAGTGTTAAACGACCTTATGGTCAGGTCCGCTGCCCTCCTCGATTTTTAACACCAATTTTTCATTAAAAAAATAAAAAGAAAATGAAAAGGTTAACAAAAGAAAATAAAAAATAAACACAAAACATATTTTATATGGTATTATTGCCTTCGCTTTTATGACATTGAGTGTTAAATGATCTGATGGCCACGTCCGCTGCCCTCCCCGACTTTTAATACCCATTTTTCTTTAAAAAAATAAAAAGGTTAACAAAAGAACGCAGATGACTAAGGAATGATTCAAACCCTCACCCTCATGGGGTATAAGACTACACACAAACCAATATTTATTTGAATGTTCATGTAAAAAATTGGCACATTATTACATATAACATATTAATAATGTGTGTGCACTGTGCAATGTACTTGGAGCAAACTCGTCTAGCCCATAGGGCGAGGCTGAGTTATCAGCCGAGTCCGAGTAGTCTTGACAGAGTCTCGAAACAACGTGCTTTAATCTAATACATTCACCATGATAAATTAGTTAGCATTTGACAATTTACAAAGCTACATCCTAGGCTCAATGCCTACCGAGAGTAAGGTCCTCTTCGTGATGACTCCCCCCAAATTAAAAGAAAAAGAAAAAAAGAAAAAAAGAAAAAAAAACAACTAAAGAAAGACTTCCCTCCATATAGGGGCCCTCAAATATGTGGCTAATTCACAAAACCGAAAGAAGCGGCTTCAAATCGACTTCCCTCCCTAAAAATGGTGATGTTTGTTTGGGGGCAGTTTTGAAAACTGCCACGCGAGGAGGAATGAATGAGTTTGAGTTAGGAGTAGGCCGGTCATGGGGCTGCTTATTGCTTAATTCCACCCCAAAACATTTATAAAAGGTCCCTCTCTGCACCCTCTTCATCTCCCCTCCTTTTCTCATTCTTTCTTTTCATCGCTTTCTCTCTTTGTTTTCTTTCTATATCTCTGTTCTCTATCTCCATTTCATTTCAGGGTCTAGGTTTTGTTTTGGAAATTTAGGAATGTGGAAAACTTGATGTTTTCATGCTTTCCACAGGCTTTCTTGAAGATGGTACTCAGACGGCCCCTCTTCGAGTTAGTTCTCAAAGTTGCGATGTGGAGCAACAGGTTCAAGAAATCTGTGGAAAAACATGGAAACAATCATAATGTTGCCTTCACGTGTTCAAAAGCACATATAATTTTATTGGGTTTTGGCATTCAATTATTCATAACTCAAAGGTAATTGTCAATGGTGTGATTGCATAATTGCCCCGTTTGGATCTATAAATGGAATAGGCACTCCATGTGCCTTTGCATGCCATCCATTCAGCCCAAATCTAAGGCAGTTCTATAATTGCAGCTAAATTTTGGGACTTCCAAATGAATCCTTATATAAAATGCAAATATGTGTGTGTTAGAGAGAGGACCCATTGTGATAATTCAATTATTGTTTGAATGTGAGGTTAGGGTAATCTCTACTTTCTATCTTATTTGAATAGTGTAGATTTACACATTGATCTAGTAAAATAATATAAATTTTACCCTTTTATGTTTATTTTTTTTATATAACTGAATTTGTACCTAGAAATTAGACTTAACAAGGGGCGAGTTTAAATAACGCAGTCAAGTACCAGTAGACTCAAATCAAGTTTTCAAACCATGATGTAGGCCAAAAATCCCAACTTTCATCAAGGGAAATAAGATTTCCTAATAGCATTTTAATGTCCTTTAATTTAGGTATGCACTTCATTTTATAATGGTGCTGTACTTAATATTTAATCTAAAATTAAAGGGTGGGACGCATTATTGTTGTGCTTAATGTTCGTTAATTGGATACTATGTTTAATCTCCACAATCCTTCTTGAAAATGTTAGGTAGATGTCCATTGTGCATCGCATAGCATATACTATGCAAATTCTATTTTCCGCTCTCTTTTTGGGAGTTCTTTCAAGATAATACGCTTAGGGTGCAGTTGGCATACGGATGCATCCGTTGCTGTAGAGGTAAGGTGCACTTTCAAATTTTATCATGGTATATAATTTTGATGTAAAATGTTATTAGGATTATCTCAAAATCTTTTTTTATATCTAATTATCCAGTTTTAAATTTAAAAAACGGTTAAAATCAAGTAGATGTATAAACATATGAAAATCTTAAAAATGGACGGCGTAGATAATATGTTGTAAAATGCACTATTTCTGAGACTTAAAATCTTTTTTTTTTGGTCATACATGTCCACTTCGAGATGATCAATCAAAAGGTTTTTCAACATAAAAACTATGTTTTCTGATGGATTTTTGAAGTACGTATATAGTTCTACATTATAAGGTTGCATCCTTATGTAAACTTTTTCCTTTTTGAAATATAATTTCTTGAAACTAACCAATGCAATTTTTTGGAATATCGTGTTAACAAATACCCCTATTCTCTAGGTCTAGATATGCATCGTGATCTCTATCTTTTAAGGAAATTTGAATCTTCTACCATGGGTAACCAGTGGCCCGCATAAATCGGTACGCATAAATCGGTATAGAAAGACTTGCCCTTTCCTCATCTCTCATTGACATTATCTACCTCATCCAAATACATATATCCTTATTTAACCGACTTTTCATCTCTTTCTCCACTTATATTTAATTTTGAATTTTTTTTTTCTAAAAGGTTTTCTATCTAGTATACATTCCTTATCATATAAGCCTCAACTGTGCAGTTTCTCATTGTTACATCCAGTCTTGAATCGATTTTTTTTCTCCATCTTAAGTTGGATTTGGGCTGTACCCAAATCGAGCTCTCTTTGATACTACCATCAAGGCTTCAACCCATTCTCCTAAGTATTATGTGGGGATTTTGACTTAACTCTTTGGTGACAATGGAAACACCTTATCTAATGGAGATAATGGAGTCAAAGACCTCATCATGGGGCTCGGCAATACTACCAAGGCCCCAAAGTGAAGAAGAAGAAAAATTGCAGTCTTATTTCTCCGAGGTAAAATTTCTCTCTCTCTATATATCAATGGAAAAAATAAAATAACAGAAGTAAAAGTCAAACAAAACAAAAAGCAGCATAAAAAGTTCAGCTGATAAAATATAGATTTAGAAAAATTTGATTGACAATTAGAAGTATTTTAGAAAAAACCCTAGAAAAATAAAATGATTAAAATAGGGAAAACGATAAGAAAAGCTCACAAATCATTGTATAAAATAAAAAAAAATAATTCTCCATGATTTTATTTTTGAAGTTTTTAAATACCTCGAGTTTTGCATAATACACTTCAAGAGAGGTTGATGGTGTTTTTGTTTTTGATTTCTCTTATTAAAATGATCATTGAATCTCTACTTTCTTAATATGTGAAATCTTGTTTATACATCAATTTTTTACTCTATAGATAGTTATCATGAATGATCTTGATTTTCGATACTGCTTAAAACCATGAGATGGGCTGAGCCTTTTTTTAATGTCCCAAACCCGAGTCACACAGTCCAACTAGGGGTATTTCTCAGGTTTTTCCTCCGGAATAGCTAAGGTACAGACCAAGCCAGTAGGTGCAAATATACGTTGGCTTGAGTTCGAGGAAAATAATTAATATTAAGGATTGTACATTATGAGACTATTTATTTTTGTTACAAAGAGGTTACAATTACTTTTAATATTAGTTATAAAATGGGATGTGATGTTGATTACTTGGGCCGAGTCCGAGTAACTCAGATTGGTGCAAAGTAGTAAAAAAATAGATTTTTAAAAAAATCAACTTGTGACGGGTATTCTTGAAATAATCTAAAAAAATATGAGAAAAATATAAAAATGAATATTTATAGTCAAACCATTTTTCAATCTTTTCCAAAATAATAGAAAACATGTCCTAAATGAATTCCCTGTTTTTTAGGTTTATTTATGATTTTTTATCGAATTTGTTTTAATATCTCCCTGAGTTGTGGGCTCAGCAAGTGCTTGAGCCCGAGTAACTCGGTCAAGTGCTTTCTACTCGGGTGATTTTTCAATAGCTGCTTATAACTACCACTTTTAAAATTAGCCCTAATTTAAAATTTGACGGATACAGATTTAAAACTTGACTTAATTTGAAATCTCACGGTAGAATTTCACGGATAAAAAAGTGTTCAAAAAATCAACTCAGCTAAAGTATGACTCGTACTCTATCGTCT